TAGTATTAAGCAAATGGATGATGTCAAGGTACATGGTTACCTTTATTTAGAATTTTAGAATGCTTAAGAACTTAAGTCTTTATGCAAATGAAAATTGTTCTTTTAGAAACTTGTTGAATGAATGTTTCGCTTAGGACCAAAAACCATAATTTGCGAGAAAGCTTCCATTATTTACTAAATGTTAGATTACTAATAAACTTTGTTGATTCGTTTGATTCATGCTTTATCTTCTTATTATTGTGAATGTGTGGAAGCATTAGAAATGATCAAGGCACTGGTTTATATTGAGCACAACCATGTCCAAATATAACTTACCTCTGAGTAGAGAGAATTCGTTAACCCTCTTTGAGCCTAAACAATATGAATCTCATTTTGAGTTTGTTGAGATTCTAAAAAAAATTCCTTGAACCCTTGAATTTGTTTTAATTGTCCTCTTTTCCATAAAAAGCAAGATCATTCACTTGAGGGTTGGGTAAAAATGAAGTTGGGAAGAATGAAAAAGAAGAATTGTAGGTTGCTACAACTTTTGAAAAATTCAAGCAAGCATTGAAAAAAATTGTTGTGTGAATATGAATGTAAAAAAAAAGAATGCTTGCTTAGAAAAGAAAAATAGTGAAAGAATAAGTTGTGAAATAAAGTTGGGAAGGTTTGCAATTGACAAACAAATGGAATGAAGTTGAGATGTGTAAATATCGTGTACAGTGAATGTCTCTTTTGCATCGGCAATTTCGTTTCAATGGCCTTATAAATGTCCCTTATTTGTAAACTCGACCAAGCTACAACCTTAAAGACCTTAGTGATCTTCTTGCTTCCATATTTTCACGTTTTATTGTTAGATATTGTATGAATTGGATTGATATTGGCATTGCTTGTTAGGTGAGTGAAATTTTCTCCGCGGTTGCAAACGCGTAATTTCTTCAATTCTTATTCGATGAGGAGAGATAAAGTGATTCATTCATGAAAAACATAGTTGTTGAGTGATGCATGGCTTGATATTTGCTTTAAGAATTTAGTTCTTGTGCATTATTTAATTCTTAACATTTGAAACCATTGCTTGTTTGCATTCCTGTGTTTGAGCCATTTTATCCATTCTTGGTTGAATCTTAATCTTGAGAAAATCCTCTTGTTTGAAATGGCATACTTTGCTTGAGGACAAGAAAAAATCTAGTTGGGGAGAGTTGTTAGATGCCAAATTTTACTTATTTGATCTATCAAATGTTGGCATCTTTTATTCTTTTTGTAGGTTAAAGTGATTAGAATCACTCATGTTTTAGATGATATGCTTCATTGTTGGAGAACGCCTTGGTTGCTTTGATTTATGTGTTATTGTGCAGGAAATTAGGCACAGAACAAAAGAAGAGTAAGACATAAGAAATTGGGCAAGGAAACCAAAACAACAGAAAATCATCAAGAAGTTCGTCGTGCGAATCTCCTAGTGAACTTCCCCAGAAAAATCATCACCAACTTTGCACAACGAATTTGTTAGCGAAGACCTTTGGGAGACTGGGTACTGTTCACTCAGAGAGAAAAGAAACTGAAACTCATTGTGTGAACTTGTAGCGAGATGGTTCGCAGTGCGAAGAATTGCCCTGCACATCGAAGTTTAGATATTTCTCAAGGGCGGTTTAACTGTTCAGAGGCACCTCAGGTGCCTAATTTGATGTTCGCTAGGCGAAGGATCTGTTCACAGTGCGAACACGACAGATCATGAATATACTTTATAATTACTGTTCTTGCTTTTTAGGGGGAGATGTTATATTTTTAAATCAGAACGTATCTCTCTTCATTTGAAGTTTATTTTAGAGAGAGAAATACAAAAACCTAAGAGGGAGGAGGTAAGATCTTTGATCTCTTGTTGGGGTTTGGATGTAATCTTTTGATACCTTATGTATTTCATCTAATATATGTTTGTGAACTAGTTTGGATTCTCAATTGATTTATTATCTTTGATTGCTTATTTGTGGGTCTTGACAAAACCTTTTCACATCTTTGATCTAAGATTTTCATCTATCAATGAACAAACTTTTGACATGGTTTTGTAAGTTGATATTAATTGTATCTTCTATTTTATTGTGTTGATTAAGTAGAATGAGTAGCATGATTAAGATCAATACGATATTGTTGTAGAAGCGGTAAAGCAGCAAGCAAAAATATTAAGTACCCAGTTTTGTCGTCTCCATGGGGATCGATGCGAGGGAAAGAATGCCATTCGACAATCTCCACGTCTTTAAACTTGGTTTTAATGATTTGGGATAAAAATGCAAAAAGGAAAAATATAAAACAAGAAAATAAATACATTCTTAAGAAATGAGAAAACTCGCCAGGAGTTGTATTTCGTTCCACCCATCATGTACTAAACAATATATGGATAAAATGCACGCAACCTAAATCGCTCGTCAATATCATCACGTATCACTCACAATAGAGGTTATGTCTAACGCAAAGTCGAGAGATAAACCGTATTGTTTCATCGGTGATGTCTCACGTAACTCGACAACACGGAACATTAAGAATCGATACCCACATGAATATTAGTCCTAAATTTATGTCTAGAGTTTAGAATCTATCTAATGTTCATCTTAGATCGAGTTTGAACTATATATGTTTATAGCAATCCAAACCCATTAAGTAAAAAATCAAGATAACCATCGATAAAGAGTTGTAAAAGAGATTTTATACAAAGATTCACAAATATACATACAATTAAGATAAACTTACATACAAAACTCCAACAATTAGAGAGTACAAAGAGAAGAGATAAGAAGAACACAAATCTCACGGTCTGTCAACTCCGATTGAAGTGGATTCGACTCCAGATCATCGAGATGCACACTCTAATGTTGTTTCTAAGCTAAATCTACTCAAGAATATTTTTGATGAAGTTGGGGTAAAAAGTTCCCAACAACATAACCTAAAAAATGCTGAAAAATGACTTAAATAGGTAAAAATGGGTTCCTGTGTTCGCACTGCGAACTCCCGTTCGCTCAGCAAATATATGCCACCTTAGCTACTACCAAAGCAGTGTTTTCCATGCTTCTGAGCAATTTTTATTCGACTTGAGTTCGTAGTGCAAACTCTTGATGAGTTCACTCGCCTTCAGTTCGTACAACGAACATGACAGTAGACAAGCACTTGTTTCGACCATCACTTTTAAACCGTAACTCCTTTTTACGCGCAGTCGAAAGCGTTGGAAAGCTTATTCAATTTTCTATAAGACAATGACAAAATATCATCGCTTATATACCTACAAAAATGAGATAAAAACAATTAAACTCAATGATATTTACGCGATACATAATATATACACTATAATATAAACTATACAACATATGCACAAAAGTTGAGGTTTATTGGTTGAATTAAGCCAATAAGTGGCAATTATTCACACTAAAAACCAGTACAATTTAGCACTTATCAATTGTGCGAATGCATGATAATAGTGATGAAGAACGATATTCACAACCATTTGGCAGATTAGGTGAATACATGTAAAAAGGGTTAAGCGTATGCACGTATTCTGATCATTGTGTTTTATTTAAAACAATCGTTTATCCGATATGAGTGTCGTCCTTGTTTACCTGTTTATCTTTGATTTGAACCGCTATAGACATGTACTCTTTAGATCTGGATCTAGGATGATTACCTGTTAGGTCCTAAACTCTAGACATAGATTTAGGCTTAACATTTGCGCGAGTATCAGTTCTTAATGCTCTGTGTTGTGTTTTTGTTGCGTGAGACATCACCAGTGAGACAATATGGTTGTTCTCTCGACGTTGCGTTAGAGATGATCTCTGTTGTGGGTGATACGTGAGGATGTTAGACGAATGATTAAATTGTGTTTAACATGATCAGAAGAATGCATGTGTTATCAATTGATGAGATCCAATCCCAACAAGGCTCCGTTTATATTTCAGTCTTTACTTTATATTTTCTGTCTTTTATTCATGGTTCCTTGAACCTTTTAAACAAAACCTTTTAAACAACAAGCTTAGAAATGTAGAGATCGTTGAACGACATTCTTTCATCGCACCGATTCCTGTGGAGACGATATAAACCCTGAAGAGAATTTCTTAAAAATTAAGTTTTTGATTCTTCCTGCTTTACTGCAGTTTGAACAGTAGCCACAGACGGGGGTATTTAATAGAAGTAATATCTTTACTTTCTCAATGCAAAATCAAAGGCATTTCAACTTTTACTGTGACTTTTCAATTGTCTGTGCATGTATTGAGCAAATTGAATTTTGAACTTTCATTGAAAAATGTGACTTTTAAAATTTACATAATAACATGTAATACAATAATTAATTATGACAAATAACTATCTTAAAAGTTGGATAAATTAGTGAAACATGAATATTAATTAAAGTAATTATGTTTAGTTTAAAATAATCGTGTTTAATTAACAATTTAAACTAATTTACAAAAGGTGTTAAGAGAAATCAACATTATGTTATTTTCTCATATAGATAATATATTATTTTTAATGGGTGAGGTTTAACTTACTCTAAAATTATTATTTTTTAAAATTTATTTTAAATTATAATCTTTAAAATATATTTAATCTTTAAATTAAATTAAATTAAAAACCTATCAATTATAATAACTTAAAAATTTTACTTTATAATAAGTTGAGGAAATTTTTAAATTAGTAATTAATTTTGTTTTGATAAAAATGAAATTGACAGAAGGGTTTCGTAAAAATTATCTAAGAGGGAAAACTCGATCAAAGATTGCTGCAACCTCCATAGCCTTCCATATTCCCAAAGGCTTCAGCCGTCGTGGCATCGTGGATTACATCTAGACGCCGTCCACGCCACCACCCACCACCGCTTCTACTTTCAGTTTCGCCACAGAATAACTCAACTCAAAGACAACCCCTTATTAGTGTCAATTGGTGGCTAATAGAATAAGAAATTGGAGCTCTGAGGTTTAGGGAAAAACCCTAACAATGATAGTTTCACAAATTTTCTGCAATGGAGGAAGATGAATACCGAGTTTTCAATGGCTTTTCCTCCTTATCGTCATTCTCACTTCCGTAGCAAAACTTATAACACTCTTGTCCGCATTCTCTCCCACGTTCCAACTCAATCCGTTAATATTCCTGGTACGGTTTTTCACTTGCTTATTTCTATGAATTGATTGAAAATTGAAGTGTTAGCTTTTTCTTCAATATTTGAAAAATAAACTTATCAAGTTTTCTTTTGGATTTTGAGTTGAAGCTTATGATTAGTTGTTGTTATGGATCAATTTGATGATTGTTTCAATTTAATTTTGTTTACCACTGTTTTGTTTCTGTTTCAAGATGATGGCAATGTTAGAATGGGGCAAGAAAACCAGGAACTGGAGGCGGTTGGTTCTGATGTTATGGATCCCAAGGGTTCTATACCCTTGGAGGAAATACTTGATGTTCATGAGATCGTTGAGAGGGTTGGAGATAGGAGCAAGGATTTTAGTGTCAATGAAATTGTCCTTGACGATGAAGACTCTCTGATGGGAATAGACGAACCATCCTCACATACAAGTGATTTTCATTTGGAACAAATAATAGACGAATTGGAGCTTGTTGTGAAAGGGACTGAAGAACCTGTTTGCAATGATGGTTTAATACCTTTGAACTGTGAGAAACAGAATAGTGATAGTGAAGTTGATTTGATGGATTACCAAGTAGAGCATGTTGAATTTCTGCATTCTGGTACAAACACGTCTGGAATTGTAAGTGAGGTACCTGTGGAGCTTAATCAACTTGACTCAGAAGTCTTACAGGTGTTTGAGTCAACGAAGGGACAGGCTTCTGATTCTGTAATCAGTACAACAAGTATAAATCATGATAGTCAACAAAAGGAAACAGAATTGGTGAAATTGGTTTGTCCTGTAGCAGGATCGCTTCCTACAATTCGAGAGGGTGAATTTGAGAAGGAAGAACAGGATGGTCATCAGGTTGGTGAAGTAGCTCATAGTTCTTTAGATCATGATAAGATTATTGAAGCATTGAATATGACAGAAGATGGTGGATTATTGGATTCAACAATTATGGAAGATAAATACAAAACACAAAATAAAGAGAAATCAGAGAAGTTAATTTGTGTGATGGATGCTACAAATTCTTCCAATCTTCTGATCGAAGAAGGAGATCTAGAAGAGGGAGAAATTTCTGGAGATTTTGCAATGGATGGTAACACATTTGACGTGTCTTCTGCGGATACTACAATTTCAGAACAGATGAAAGTGGATGAGATTCAGAAACCCGGGAATTCATTTGGAAACAAGGCAGCCCCCTTCAATATGGGTAACAATGGACTAGTAGAACCTAGGACTATCAATGCCATTCCAACATATTTAACCCCCAAACAAGTCTTGCACAAAGGATTCATGGAAGAAACCGCTATCAAAGATCATGGTAACTCGTCTGCTGTACAGGTATGGATTTCATCTGGGTACATATAAACCAATAGCATCTATTTAATTTACTTACCTTACACGATGTTTTATATGAAATCAACAGTGATGAATGGAAGATATTCCATGATAATCCATCCTTTTGTTATTTTTAATATAATACCCAATGAGTTTGTTTGGGAGAATTTACTTAATATTGGAATAATGTTAAGGATTAGTTTATCATCAACCATATCCTTCGGTATCCTATGTAGAGTTTCATATAGCAACCTATTTAATGGTTTTAAAATTAAAACTTGTGTTGTTAACTTTTCTTTGAATAATTATTGTTCATCTGTAGCAGATGGCTGATGCCAACAGAAATGAACAAAGTGATCCTGGCCCTAAGAAGAAAAACATAAAAGTGTTCTTATGATATTGTTGGCTTGTTTTATTTTTGATGGAATTTCCGCCTTCATTGTGGTCCGCCCCTAGTCGCCTAAATTGAGGCATTTAGCTTGCCTTCATTGCAGCCTCCAACACCTTCATTGTGTTGAGTTTGAATGGGTGAATTTAGTCCCACATTGCTTGCATGTGTTGTGTTTATAAGTGTAGACAATCCTCACCTTACAAGCCGATTTTGTAGGGATGAGTTAGGCCTAACCTAAATTCTAAGAATTTTCTTTCTTGGTGTTGTATTGTTGCTCTAAACTTGTGATATGGATTTTTAAGCTTGTTGGTTTTTACTCCTCTGAAGCCATTCCAACATTAGTGGATTCATTATCTACTACTTTTGAAGAAGATAAATGCTAGAAAAACTCCCTAACAATCTTTTCAACACACTCTCTTCCATTTGTTGTAGTTAATATAGGTTTTACTATATTTATGTGGGACCAACATGATTTTATTTTGTAGAAACCATTGGCAAAATAGTGAGAGTGTGAAACTCATTTGAATTTCCAAAATAAGAGTGTATTGGAAAGAGACGATGTTGCTATTACTTGCTTTGAAGAGTAAATAACAAATCTATACATGTTTGCAACATATGACTCATTATTTATTTGATAAACATTGTTTTGTAGTTAAGTCTTTACATAGTTTTTGATTCACATTTATTTTGCCAATTTCTTTTCCTTATTCAAGTTTTCCAGAAAGTTAAATTCATGTTTGGAATTACGTTAAAAACTAGTTTACAGATGATCATATCTTTCATATCTTTAGACATCCTATGCCAGAGTTCCATCATTTATTCGAACTATTTAATAATTTCAAGACTATGATGCTCATATTTATTTGGTCAATTATTGATCTTTGACAGGAGGTAATTGATCCCAGTAGAAAGCGAAAACGTATTCCTGATTTAGAGAAGGAGGAGGATAAAAAGAAGGTATTCTTATATTTTTGCTGATTTTCATTGTGAATACTGTGTTATTCTCCCTTACTTTTGATATGGATTCTCATGCTGAACTCAACCATCTTTTATGTAATTTTAACCTCAGTTTATTATCTGTTACTAATGAAGAATAATACTGTTCAATTCATTCAATAAAATTTATGTTGAAGGAAAGTCTTTGGGTTTCCACTTTGCATTTATTTTGCCAATTTATTTGCCCTATTTCATTTTTTGGGTAATTAACTAAAGATCAGAATCATGTGAGAAATGATTTTATGGTCAACCAAATATTTGGGCATCCTATGCAAAGTTTCAAAATGCAGAACAAAAATGTAATGATTTTAAGGGAAGTGATGTTTATTTTTCTATAGTTAATTATTGATCATTTGCAGGAAAAGGTTGATGCTGGTAAAAGTAAACGTGGTCCTGGTTCTCGAGAGAAGAAAATTAAAAAAAGGGTATTATTCTAATAGTATTGCTATTATATCTTCCTTTATACTGTATTAATGCTCTTAACTTGTGAAAGGACTTTGAAGCCAATTAATTTAACATCTTTTGAAGTCATTCCATCATTGGTTAATTAATTAATAATTTGTTATTTATGAAGAATAATCCTTAATTCGATACGTTTTCATATGACTGATGATTTCTTTATTTGATAAAATTTATTCTGTAGGAGAAGTATCGAAAGAAAAGAGCAGAAAAGAACAGAGAACTAGGTGTTAAAAGGTTGAAGTTGATTCCAGTACAGAAACCAAAAACCATCGCATATTGTCGCCATTATATGAAAGGAAGGTGCAATGAGGTTGTTATGAAATCAATTATATTAAACGATGAATTATTTTTCACTTTATATCATGTCTTTTCTATTCTATTCTTAAATGTCTTTTATTATTTTTTGTTGTACCATTACACATTGCATAGGAGAATTCGTTATTCTAGTCTTGATGCTTCATTTAACTATTTGAATTTTGAGAAGGTAACTGATATCTTTGTTAGTTCTAATGTAGAACCTGCATGAAGTTCATTTATATATATGGGATTAATGAGGCTTTGCCTTTAACAAGATAGTGAAATCTCATGTCAATATTTGTTTGTTAAGTCAGAAGATTTCCATATTCATAACTTGAATTAAATATCTTGTAAATGTTCTTCATTTTCAGTTATATAATTTGACATTTAAATTTATCCAAACCCTGTAAATAAGTTTATTGTGGCTGTGTGAAAACTGAAAGGTAGCCCATCAAGACCATTGTTGTAAAAGTAGTATATTTTTGCAATTCGTGCAGTTTCTGTTTGTATGAGTGTGTTTATATATAAATATGTAGATGTATATATAATATATTTATTGAAAATCGTCAAATAATTCTTACTTTTCTATTGCTTTTACCAAAACATTTGACAGGGTGACAAGTGCAAGTTCTCTCATGATACTGTTCCTGAAACAAAGTCCAAGGTATTGGTCTTTTTTTGAAATTTTGCTCTCCATTATTCCCTACCGGTTTAAATAGGTTTATGGTCCCTGCAAATATGCCACTCTTTGATTTTAGTCTATGTAAGTTTTTGTTTTCATCCGTGAAAATATACCACTTTTTACTTTTGTCCTTGATTTTAGTTTTAGTTCCTATAAAATATGTTCATGTTGAGATTAATCTTTGTAATATGTGTGTAATATTCATTTTAGACACTAATTTTGACATGAACTAAAACCCAAAAAAAATCATATACTAGGGGATTTAACTTGGAAAAGCAAAATAGACTAAACATATTTCAACCTTCTTTCCATCATGTTGTGACAAAACCCAGAAATTTATGGAGCTCTGTACTGATTTTGACATTGCAGCCATGTGTTCACTTTGCTCGTCACTCTTGTATGAAAGGGGATGATTGCCCATATGATCACCAACTCTCCAAGTATCCTTGTTCCAATTTAGTTTCTAATGGCTCTTGTACTAGAGGTCATGCTTGTTTGTTTTCACACCAGGTACGACATCCTATTCGATTTCACTTGTTGTATAATTATTCTCACTTACTTGGATTAAAACGGGCTCTTTCTGATTTAGGTACCAATCAATCAATGTATACCTACGCCTACAAATGCTGGCAAACCAGAGTCACATTCTCCTCTTCCGTCAGGAAATACAAATTTCAGTACGCCACTGAATAATCATGGCACTAGTTCTGTCCAGCAAAACCACTTCACCAATTCTAAGGGAACAGAAACTTCACAGACAAAACCTACCTCAGCACCCAAAGGAATTAGATTCATAAATGTTGCTAACTTATCATCTAGTACGCCAAAACAAGACACGATAACACCAAACAAGGGAAGTCTTGTCCACAATGGGAAGTGTGCAGATAAAGGTCAAAATACTGCAGAAATTCCTAAGAAATTTTCAGCCGTGACGCCCAAGGGAATCAACTTTCTTTCTTTTGGCAAAGGTTCCGTTTGCAGCTTCAAAAGTTCTATTCAATCCACTGCACAAAATTTACCTCAAACTGCGCTTTTCTCACATAATGAAATTTCAGACAAAAAGCAATCCATGGTAGAACGAATGAAATCAAAGTTTCTAGAGAAAGATTCAACCGATGATTCTGTGAGGGATCACAGCCATTGTAAATTGGTTCAAGAGGTAAAAAAGGCGTCTGGCAATTCTCAGACTTCAAATGTGACCTCAGCCACTCTTCTTTCCCGTCCGTTTGTTTCACATCAGTCTTCCGGAAGCCTAGTATCTGGATATCATAAACAAGCATCAAACTTAGGCCAAAGGGCACTCTTATCAACTTTAGCTTTTGCAGCAGAGCATGAATCAGATATTAAAATGAAATGCCCCACTGTTGATTCACCTGTATGATCAGGAAAATAAGTAAAACAATTGCAGCTCAGAGTTTGAAAGAGAATATCATTGGTAAAATTGGTTTTAATCCATGAGGCTCTTGGTGATTTGAATCAAGTTATTTGCCAGCTTACTGGATGATAGATCAGAACAGGGGTTGTTTAGTTTGCAATGTTTCTATTTCTATTGCAGTATGATTGCAGGTATAGTAGATCTTACTGTTAATGTCGGTTATTTCTCATTAAACATTTGAAGTGTAACATGCTTAGACCAAATGAACAATTTACATTTCACCTCATGCAGAATGTCTTTATTGACTATGATTAGAATTCTCATGCATTCAACAGGATTGTAGATTGCTAATACTTAAATCCTTAGCGTGTTACAACTCAATGTTGTTGCTGACATTGTAGGTAATGCATTCATGCGGCTTAAGACAACAAACTTGCAAAAGTTTACATATACTAAAAGAGAATTTCTCCATCTACCTGCCACTCCCACCAGCCATATCTGCAACATTCTTGCTTCTGGATGTGACTCGAATTTTGAAGTGGTTAATTGATTTTAAATTTTGTTTCTATCATGCACATACCTATCAAACCTGGTCTTGTGTTGCCTGTACAGGTAACTTTGAAAAGCTGCTTAAATCAGTTGTTGATTTTTGTTTCTTAAAATTCTGCAGGTGTATATTTTGTATTTAACAGTGCTAGAGACTTATGATTTCAGAATATTTTCTGGAAGAAATTCTGATAAAAACATTGGAGCAATATATGGCTGAATGATCTGTTTTTTACTGCTTCACCTTAATGTAAATTGTGATATATTGCAGTATTTTAGTCTGTTCCAATTATGAACATTTCTGGTTTACAATATTTGCTCAACCGTTTTAGTTAGTTTGTTCATATTCGTAAGAGTTGATCCAAGCAAAGCTTTGGCGCTATAGTTATAAAATAAAGATTCATTTTAGATTTTCAGAAAAATAAGTCAACAAATAGTTCCTCAAAAATCAAAATTATCAAGTTGAATCATAGTTCTTACTAAAAATATAATATCTGAAAATTATGAATTAAACTGAGTTTTGTCTAATACTGAAATGAATTCTTATTGAAACAGAAACAAAAAATCAGAAAGTTATATTTTGACAAAATAAAATAATCATTTATAATACAAAATCAGCATTACATAGGTGATGTTAATTTAAAATCAAATATTATATTTTTCTATGTGATGTTAATTTAAAATCAGATATTATATTTCAATATTCAGGTGAACGCTTTAACATCTTCATAATATCTTCTGTCGATCTTGAAATTGCCGCTTCCACCTAGATCAAAACTTTTGTTTTGAAACGGAAAAATGTATTTCACATAGCCCTTACACATGCATCTGTTTTGAACTCTTATTTGTTGAACTCAGTCTTGCATTCGTTGTTAATTGACGGTGAACGACACTCGAACTTTACAGTTTTTTGATTATCTCGGTAAGATAGGAGATTTTGCATTTCGTATAGCAGATATGCAAAATAGGTGTACTCATTAATTTTAAATTTTCTCTCGGGTGTCGCGTTGGAAAAGGAGACATTTGTGAAATATCAGATGATGTTTATTTGCGATATTTTCTGTTTGAATGAAATAAAAAACACGAGGCTATATTTATAGAAATTGTAGACAAATATGAATCTAAAAAATTATATCTTGTATCAGTGGAGGTTTTGCAGATGCATCTTCGGTACCACTTTACTTCAGAGATGTATCTCTGGAACCTCTCCTAATACAAGATAGAATATGTGTGTTTTATTTGGCAAATGAAATTGTATATATTAAAATAATTGAAATTGTATATATTACACTTTATTAATATTAATAATCAATTACATACAATTAATTAATAACGAAAAACTAAAACGAATAGAAAGATTTGTCGTCGGTTAAATCTATAAGTATGAACGGTTCTTCATTTGACTTTTGTGCATTTGATTCTTTTTCAATGTTGCTCAATTTGGTGAACTCTTGCATCCTTTTCACAAACCGGTCAGGCCAAGTTTCAGCTTTAGTTGTTGAATGAGTCGTCCACTATATTGATGCAAGTGGTATAAGACATTTCAGTTTCAAATAAACTTGAACAAAGTGACGTGATTTTGAAATCCACACAATACACATAATACGATCATTTGGATTTTGAGGTGGGGAAGCGCACAATGGGAATTGTTTTCTCCAAAAAATTATATCTTGTAAGATCGATACACACACTTGTTGTGAGATGATCCATTTCAGGGAAACACATCAATTTTTCCTCTAGTGCTGGTGCACTAATGGAAGGAACAAGAGACTCACAAATTGCATCAAAATTTTCTTTCTTTCCATAAAATCGTGTGTATGAATCTTTATGGGTCCTCAACTCATGGATAATTTGATGGCGGAAAAATGTGTGATTATCTTCTCCTTTACCGAATGAAGTTGAAACAACTTGAAAATCGTAATTACCGTCACCCTTAATATTGACGATCTGTTTGATGTATTTGTGCATAAAAATCGACATCTCGTCAATGAATGTAATTTTGGTGGAGACAATGAAGGAGGTGGTTTGCTATTGCGAGCTTCTTTAAAACATTTTTTTTTGTTGAGATTTTGGAGTTGCTGAGTCCGAAAAACTTTGTTAACACGTTCAAAATACAAAGGAGACGACATCGCTGAATTACCACTCGATGTAGATCTGGCCTTCTTTGGAGCTTTTTTTTACCGATTGAGAGGGTGGTTTCAAATCAGTGGTTTCCGAATGAAAGAGTTCATCAAAGTGGTATCGCAATCAGCAAGAATTACTTTTGACATCTCTTCTTGGTCCTTCAACATTTCCTGACACACTTCTAAAGCCAATGTAACATTATCCTTTTTTTCACTCTCTAGAAGAGGTAACACCAACCATATCCAATAGTGGATGTTTGTACTTATTGGTCTTATACGTTGAATCAATGATGAGCACAGTAGAAAACACGTTATACAACTTGATGGAATGAGGACGAGTCCAAAATATATCTTAGCGGTTGGTTACTCCATCATCGTACTTTTGGTACCTGGAAACATAATTGTTATTATCATACCCCAAAATTTACCCCTAGATTCCATCATCATTTGCATAACATCCAACACATCTTAGGTATGTCATTCATGCATAGCTAACCCTCGAGTATCAAGATATTGCCTTGCTTTGCTTCATTTGTGAACTAAGGTTTGCATCAAGGAGATTTGGTTGATCAGTCAAAGTCTTCGATTGATTATCAATATATCAAGTCCTCATGATCAAGAGTTTCCCTACATCAATGATCAAGTGTTTTGTGGCTTTATTACAAGTTCATCAAGATTCAAATTCACCTGGTCCACAAACTAGGGTTTTTGATGAAAAGTCAACTGCACCTTTGACTTTTGACCAAGATATGATCTCAAGCCTTGAGACATGATTCAAGACACTCAAAGACACATTTGAAGTCCATCTACAATGTTCAAATAGCCCAAGTTTTTTTTATTTCATTGAATATTACAAAGTTCAAGTTCATCTGATGCAAAAGTCAACCACTGATCAAGTCAAGTTTGACATTTAACTATTTTGCTCAAACATGGATTCTTCAAGTCAAGAATGATGATAATGTGTGATTTGGATCAAGATTAATCAATCGAAATCAAGAAAAATTAGGTTACTTGCAAAAAGGCCAACAATGAAGAAATTGAAATTTTTTCCAAGTTATGAGAATTCATGATTTTTGCTCAACTTGCCAATGCCATAACTTCCAATCCAAGTAACCATTTTCTTTGCTCCATAGACCAATTTGAAGATCTTGTTACATACTACAACTTTTTCCTTGAGGATGATTTCCAAAAAAATGAATATATTGAGAGATATGAAGCTATGAAGTGGTGGATTCCTTGTCCTTTAAACTTGGACACTTGAAAATTTTTTCATACAAACCTGCCTTGTAAAGTAGCTCACTTTGAGGCCATTTTTTTTACCATGAATCCAAATTGATTCAGAAAAAACTCAAAAAATGAAAGTTGTAAAGTATGTTTTAAGCTTTCCAAAGAGTCCAAGAACTCATTTTTATCATGTGTGAGCTAGGAGTTTCGAAGAAGGGAAGTTGACTCTTTCATGCTGAACTTTGATCATGCTCTTGACAAACCCAAGTTGCAAAACCTAGCTAAATCTGCACGATCTTGCTTTGCAGCCTATGTTACTTGAAAATCTTCCCCTAATCAGAAAATTACACAGGTTAATGATGAACTGTCCAAGTGTTCCAAGCATTGTTCAATGAATCATTCCATTTTGGGAAGAAAGGTTACCCTTCCATTTGCATAAAGCCACTTTAATCACAAAGTCAACTTTCCTTTGAGCTACCAAATTTTTTTGTTTTCACTCAACCTTTTCTTTGCTTAGAAACAAACTTTATAAACTTTCCAACAACTTTAGAAAAGCTTGTACGTGGCATTGAGACTATGAGAATCAATGGAACCACCAAGTTGATTTCCAACCAAACCAAGGGAACCTCAAACTTGTGATTATGCATAATATAATCCTTACCATTTACCTATAAATAAAGATTTGTTCCTTGCTTTAAAGCACACAACAAAACCTCATAAACACACTTGAGCAAGCACTACCTCAACATCTTGCAAACTTTCACTTCTGCCAAGAACCTCCACTTTGCACAAATTCATCCAAAATCTTTTCCAGTCACAAATTAATCAATATAACACCCCAAACACATCACAAAACATATAACCAAGCTATCCAAATCATTATCTTCATCTAAAACCTGCAAAACTAGAAAGTCAACCATCAAAACCTCATTCTGTTAACTTTTTTGCATAAACATATCCAAAACCTCATTCTGACCATTTCCAATCCATTCAAGCTTTTAAACATAATCTATAGTCATGTTCTAAACTATTCCATGTGTTGGTTTGTGACTGCAACTGCTTTTTCTTAAAGATCAACTTTTCACTTTTCATTTTTGCAAGAGGATTCGTGTACAAGGATTGAAGTTATTTCTGTGCAAGCCAAGTATCCTAAAAACTTCTTGGAAGTTCATTGAAGCTTTCTCAATCAAGAAATAACTTCTGTAACCAGATTGAAGGGGAATTGGACCTTGCTCCAATATGTAAGGTTGCTCAGCTTTGAAACTCACCATACATGCATCATTAATGTTTACTTTCTGAAGCAAAAATGTAGCCTTTAACATGTATAATGTTTGGCCTAAGTTAATTGCATTCAATCATGTGTGTTTGTGAAGTTTCTCATTTCTGAACATTTAGGGTTCATGTTAAGTTCAATCATGATTTTTGTTGTGTGTTGATTTTAGTGAAATTTATTAATACCATTGTGATCCTCATGAAAAACTAAACACTTTTCATTTTTACACCATAAAAAAATATTAAGATTTGAGAGAGTTCAAGTTTTGTGATATTTGAAAAAAATGGAGGAAGGTTGAAGAAGAAGATGACGCATTGTTTCAATCTCAGGATTTGTTTTAAAATATATTTATTGGTTTCCAATTAACTTTTGAATTGGCATTGCGCCACCTTGGTCATAGTGTGTGTTTGGAAGTGTTTGTGAGGTAAAGGACTGGGGTTCGAATCCCCTTTGCCCCTGTCTTTTTATTACTTTTTTATTTTGTTATTTTTCAACCTAGATTCATATTTATTGTGTCATGCGCGCATTCTAATTGGGCCAAGCAGATGGCCCAATGACTAAGTCTTTTACTTGCAACCCATAACGCGCAGGTTAAAGTCC